GGGGGGGGGGGGGGGGGGGGGGGGGGGGGGGGGGGGGGGGGCTGTGAACTGAGCGGCTGAGGGTGCATTTTAAAATGACCACACAGCATTTCTAAAGAAATAAGGGTGCTTTCAAACACTTTTGTTTGGCGGTGAACCTGACCTCTATCTTTTTCAGCAAACAAAAGAGTAGGAGACAAGGCAGGCGTACGCAGATCAAGCCATCAGTGTACGTCTGTCACAGGTTCGGAGAGGCAGCGTAGCGCAGAGATGGGCGCTAAACCAAAAATGTACCGATACAAACATCATTTAACCACCCGATGGGACTCATCCGCTATGGTTTTTTAGTTGCTAATTAAGGTTAAGATGAACACAACGAACGGTTCGGACAGTTAAGTTAAGCACGCACCTCACAGGACTTTAGAATGCAAATGCATAACAGGTAATCAGGCAAAACACCCACAGTCTGTTAGTGGACAACATCAAGGGTCATCAACAGAAAAATATATGTGGAGAACACACAGCGTCCATTTGTACCCAAGGGTGTATTACCTGCTAAACGCTGGGTGACACAATTTTCCACAATTCACACTACAAAACAGAGGAAAGATATGATGAGAAAGAGAGTAGTCATGTTTTGACCAATGAGGGGGTTTGAAGATCTACTGGATCTATAAATGTGACCATATCCAAGACGAGAGTGATTAGCTGATGTCTTTTCTCTGCTCAAAAAATCTGTTATCATAGTATATATATATTGTTGTATTGCATTATATATATATCCTAATAATGGTACATTTTTGCGGGTATTAATAATGAATTACTTGTAAATAAAACACAATATAGTGCTAGATTCTTCACATTAATTCAAAAAAATCAAACATTGCCATAATGCAGTCTTGCTCACTGATTTTCCACATCTGTTCCGATGGTCCAATTATACATGCAGAGATATTAAGAGAAAGCCTCCACAGTAATATCTGCACGGCTGAACCTCTGACACATTTTACAGCATTTCATATTGTCGTACGGTCCAACCTTAATTGATATGAACACAGCGCGCTAGAAATAAGTTGATTGCTGCAGACGTGGTCAGATCATGTTTTGGTAAACCCGTGTTACATGCGAGTTATACAAATGTCTCCTGTCAGCCTGCACATGGTCATGTGGACCACTAAGAATAGACACACGCATGTACAGCAATGACAGCAGAATGCTAAGGCATCCACTGAGGTGGGAGGAGCCACTTCTCAAAGACAGACCATGACTTGAGCAGTAAGTCACACATACTGAGAGCGTCAGTATGAGTGACAGATGTACGTATATAGTAGAGCTTTTTTATAACCCATAAGCAAAGTTAAAGCAGGTTATGAGAGGCTAATGGGCGGGTAATAGCTTTAATTGGTCCCTCAATAACACAGCGGTGTGTTCTGTGCCATCCATGTATCTGTGGGTGGGTACAAACTCACAGGCGGAACCTTAAAAGTCTAAAATAATCTTGACAAGGGCAACAACAAAGATCTGGTTGCATTCAGGGACAAAGGGAGTTTTGATTATCTGCACCAAAACATTTTAAGTTTCTACTGAGCAGAAGATTGGGCGTGATCGGCTGTAACTATCCTGAACCCCGTATGGTTCAGATAATCTCTTTTAGATCGTACGTTGCCTCTTTACTGGAGGCTGCCCCACAATTACAATTCATCATGGATGCACAGATTCACACACAGTGGCAGACCTTCTTCTGGGTAGACTTGAGTTTCTGTTCCTTAAATGTTATACTTATACATTTAAACCAAATTTGGTGTTTTGCATTTACTTGAAGCCGATTAGACAGTGATTTCCAGCCTGGCCTCTTTATCCCTGTGGCAGCTTAAATCCGTCTTTGCCTTTTATTACTTGTCCGGGGTGAAGATTTCCCCCTTAAAGCACAGCCAACTGTTGGCTGAAATGCACCGTAATAAACATAAAAACAACAATGAGTAGTAGTAGTATTGGTTCTTCCCAAAGTTGACCTCTAGAACGTCCGATATTCATTTTGCAGATTATGTCACAACGACAAAACACTAATTGCTGAATCAGATATCATCTCGCATTGGTGTGAAAAGCAGCAGAGATGTGAGAGTAACACAGTGAGGGGAGGAATGTGTCAAGACAGTTCTGGTCTTCAGAACCATTTTCCATTTACTCCATCCTCACTCATAAGAATTTGGTGAGATGAGAAAACTCAATAAATCATATTCTAGTAAAACCATGATAATAATTTAGAAGCAACGCATTGAAAAAGCTCAAACTGGTGTCCTTAATGGGACTTCAGGGAATTCTGACTCAACTCGTTATTGGACTTTGGCCATTATTTCACACGTGGGAGTGACATTTCATGTCTTGAAGCAGAAAATATTTCAATCAGCGTTCATTGCTCAACAGAATAAGTAACACCAGTTGGGACGACATCACTTCTGTGAAATCAATATCACATTGTGGAGGATCTGCTGTGACGGGGGGGGGGGGGGTTATGGGGGAAGTGAGAAGCTGAGTGGAGCTGATTCATGTCGTGCAATATTACGCTAAGATGACTTGGGTGAGAGATCAAAGTTGAGGCTACTGTCATGGTGGGGGCTGCGATGCAAACAGTCCAGAACATTTATATTCTGAACAGGGACACGGATGTACATTTGAGTGATTCTGCAAAGGAGGCCGAAGTTATAGATCGCCATCTGGACATCCTGCAAACCTCTGGAAGGAGAACACCTTTCATCCACCTTAACCACAGTTAAAGGTGGATGAAACTGGAAATGAGAGTACTGACAATCCCTGAGATGGAAAGAAACTGACTAAGTGTAGTCTGACATATTCAGAGAGTAATTCTCCTGGAAGTGAAAGTCAGAGATGACTGGCCTCTGATCCACTCATGTGGGCAGACATGTGATTGTTGTTGTGCTGAACGCAGATGATCACATGGACGTAACGTTGTATATTTTTTACTTATGACAACTGAAAGGGCCATGAACGAGGGACCAACCGTGACTCATCTCATTGCTACTAGCTGACGCATCCGCGGTACAAAGGCTTTGTTATCGTCGGCCCTTAGCATCAATGGCGCTTGCAGAAAACAGCAGCTCAACTGTGCAATAAATACAACTTATTCAACAGGACATGCATAAGAAGTCTTTCAATTGGCATTTACATTCCGACAGTTAGTTCTTATTTCTAAGGAATTCTTTTCATGAACATGAATAAGTGAAGAAGCACTGAATAGAAGAGGGTTGCACAACACAGGCTTGGGCAATGTTGCCTACACATTCGGTGTTGCAATAGCACACTGTAGTGCTCAGACATGCTAAGTGGCATTCTTACAGCAAAAAACAAGAGACTTACTGTTCGTTGACGACAAAGATGCAATTGTCTTGTGAGGGTAAGCTTGAGACAGGATGCTTGCAGGTCACCTTCCGCTCATTGTGACTATTGACAGTAGGGAGGGAGAAAAGAGAAGAAAAGAAAGAGTCATCAATATTAGAAAACACTACATAAACAATGGTAAAAATAAGCCCATAAATCAGACTTGATCCATCTTTGAAAATGGTAAATTAATATACTGCTAACTGCCCTGATAACCCAAACATGTGACAGAACTCCAGCTGTAAAGGCTTGAGAGAACTCTTCACCTCCAAAACATGAGAGTTTGTATTGGCAGGAATGTTTTGTGGGGACGGAACAGATACACAATATGGAATAAATTAGCATGCTGTGCCAAGAACTGGTCCAATCTGCAAAACTAGTCCAACCAGACATATATTGGGTCACTGTGAAAATAGGACAAGCACTCAAGACACAGCAAACAACAGCTTAAGTGCCCCCATGACAAGACAAAGCATGAGAGCACAAACAAAAGCAGAACGATGTTACATCAGGTCCACAGTGGACCAAGAAGAGAAAAGAGCCATTTGGACGTAGAGCAGTGTGCACCGAACATCAAAATCATTAAAAACATAAAAATCCACAGGCTCCAGCAGGCTGTTGTGCCATCCTAGATGCTACCCACCCATCCTGTAGGCCAATTACAGCGGCCCACAGTCACTTCCACCCCGACATGAGTAGAGCACCAGCACACGGACCACACAGTCTTTTGGAGAAGAGCAATACAAGCATGGGGGCCTTCACAACAACAGCAGAGCCCGGTCAGTGTTGTGTGTGTGTGATCTGGATGGTCCTGGGCCGAACACCGTCATTGGAAGAGCACTGATAAATGGATTCAAGATCCAGATCCAGTTAATCAGCTTCCTATCAAAAAATCAATGGTTATTTGATTATACTGTCAGTGAGTTACAGCGACGGGAAGTTTAGTAGCAGTAGAGAGTATCAACATATCAGTCGGATACATCGACAGCAGTCATTATTAAACAAGACATCAGAGAATATGAGCTGCGGTGTCAACAAGTTTTTGAAGCTGCTACTGCCTCGACTGGACAGTAAGCTGTAAAATGAAACTCCGGCAGGCTGAACTCTACACAGAGGAGAGTCCAGCTTCAGCCCAAAAATAACAGTTTTTAAACACGGGGTACTCATGCCCTGAAAAGAGCAAATACTAAGCATGAAATAGGGGGTTTAGTTTCAGCTGAGCCTGGAGAGCTCTGGTCTATAATTACTGGAGGCACTGTTGGCAGCAGAGCCCTCAGTGCGGTCTTGGGGCAGACCAGTGGCACCATTTTTCTTTGGTTTCCCTTCACGCATGTCTATACTGTTCTGCACATAGGTCGGCTACAGATTTAAAAAAGAAAGAAAGGACTGGATTGGTATTTCTGTAGTGGGATAGGATTGATTTTTTGTTTTATTTTGGATATATAATAATCAATCAACCATCAAACGCTTGAGTATATCTGAGCTTTGATACTCTGAATGCATGCACCGCCAGTTTGCTTTCATGTGGTGCATTATTCGTGGCTAAAAGGAAAGGAGGTTTAAATATAAGGGTGCGTTTTGCCAACCTATCAATTAACGATGCATGATGTTTTATTACAGGAGAGCAAAGTGTTTAATTCCCTTCTAGGATATATAAAAAAATAATAATTAATCACAGGAAACCGCTCCTCTGTGTGTCGTCTCTTATCGAGTGACTGCAAAGTATCAAGTAACCTGATTGGCTTACACTGGCTTCACTGCAGTAACGTGTTGTGATGCATTACCATGTTCCCCGACGTGGAATGGCATGTAACCCAATAACTAAGCAACATTATGCATACTTTTAATGTTGCTAAAACACAGTTACATTCTAAAATAAGCTCTATGGCCCAATGGCTACGAACGACGATACAGGAAGTACCTGCTCTCAGCATACGACACGAGATCGGACAAGAAAATTGTAGCCTACTTGCATGGAAAATAAAAAACAAGTCAAACATCTACTGTAGCCAAAAGAGACCCGAGACAGTTCCTCAGAAGTAGTGCAGACCAACCAACGGCTACCGTACAAGGCGACTAAACACCGACCCCATAGCCATAGGCTGTACTTAAAGAGGGCTCCAATATGATGTCCATGTTTCTCTGCATTTGCTCAAATATTAGCCATATAGGAACTTGATACTGGAACACGGCATTGGCCCAAAAACAGCCTGATTAAAAAAAACAACCCCCATTAACAACACCTGTTCAACAAGACTTTTAAACAGGACGGAGTCAAAGAAGATAAAATGTCACATCCTTAAGGGGATGAACCTGAAATGAAAAGGATGTAAATCATAATGGCTAAATAAAAGTGTTCAAAGCTACAGCATTAGTTCAAATATCACCTTCAAAATGAAGTTGACCACGGCTCTTTGGGTACATCTATAAAAATAAAATGGCCCTCCTGCTGCTAAGAACATTTTTGCAGATGTGCAGTGTTTTTAAGAGGGGGGCTGTGTGACATCAAAGAGTCCGTGTACTATACGGACAGAAGCCATTTGAGAAGGTCCTAAACGGTCCCAACATGATCCATGTGGTATGGGAGGACAGTGAATTCTGCAGCCTCAGTGGAAAACATGGCGGCTGTGAAGCAAGATGATGTCCGGATGAGTGACAGCAACACACATCTTCCTATTCATCAGAGAAAATGTCCTTTTTTTTGGCCCGTGACAATCAGCGGCTGTCTAGATTTAAACTTGTTTTCCTATTCACATTACTCAGCAGTGACATTTATTTTAGCGCGGTGACGGTGCTGAGATGAAGGATGAAGGCAACACACATTGCAGATACGGATCAGATGTATGGCCGCCACATGGCATCAATATCCGATTGCAAATATGACAGGCTTATAATGCAAAGCAATTATTGACGGGACATAAGGGCATCCTGAAAACATCCATGTGAGATCATGTACGTTGATGACGGCAGCCATTGCTGCATTTAAAATCAACAGATGGTGCACAGCTAACAGCTCACAATCTCTTTTTGGAGTAAATATGTTTTTCAAAAATACCTCCGCCAGCTAATCTTAGTTCACAACACCATCTGCAATGGTCACACATGCTCTGGAGGATGTGGTCTGTGGTCACTATAGTCAGCATAAAGTCACGGGGCTGCACGGTAAGGGGAGCATGTGGGAACATTTCTGCTTCAATAGCGGGCAAAAACACTGTATTCTCTTCAGATGTCTTCTTGTTTCCAGAGGGAGATGTTGGTTTTCTGGGTGGATGGGGGTGAAGGGCACAGGGAGGTTCCTTGCCTCTTGACCTCAGATGTGTATAAGTGAGGAACTAGGAGTGGCAGTGAGAAATGACCACCCCGTTGTGAGGAGGGTTGGGCAACTCAGGACTGTCCCGTCCACAATAATTAGCCGTGAGCTGCAGTAATGAAGAGCTTAAGGTCTGGGGGTCGACACTCCACGGGCTCAGCTTTTATTGTTGTGGGCGGCTCTTTGATCCGTCACTCCCATTCTACTACAGTTCAACCACAAACAAGCGAGAGGCTCCGGAAGGGATCTTGACGTTGGAGAGAAGGGGAAAAGGCTTCAGGAGTTTTGACAACACATCTTCCGGTTTTAACACCAGTTAAAAGAGTTTGTGGGGCCCCACTGGAAGCTCCCTCATGTCATTATTTTACTTGGAACCCCAAACCAAACCTGGAACCTTCGCTTCGTACGTTGCTTCAGAAGTAAGGCGGGGAAAACATTTGGTTTAGCATTCCACCGATTGATGCCATCTGTGAAGCCAAAAACAGCCACGCAATGCTAATTTTGGACCATTTCCACTGAGAAATGATGTCTGGTGTTCAGTCAACGGACTGAAGTTCCTTAAAAAACAAAACAGTTGTTCGTTGAAGTTCTAAAACTCAAAACCATTTTTTCCTCAACCTCTATTTGTTTGAAAGTGCAATGATGGTAAGAGAAAAGTAGATAAGGAAAAGAATTGGAACAAAAGTGTAATTTGTTAAAGAGTAATTATAGTGGTAACTTTTGGTTTTTGTTTGTCTTTTCTCTTTAGTGTGGCGTGACTGGAAAACTGGAGGGGATCCCCTCTTTCTGTGTCGTGTTAAAAAAAAAAACTAGAACAAATGTAAAAGACATCATAACGAGAATGTTGTGGCTAATTTGGATACGGAGGAATTTTTGAAAAAAAGTTTTTAAAAGCAACACTGCTACTCCGGCACTCGGATACTAAACAGGCAAATGAGACACAAAACCACATCCATTCATAACCATTTGACCACAGTGTATATTGTGGATGGTGTGCTCTAAAAGTGGGCCAGAGATCAAGTTCTATCAAAGCTAACGGTGTGCAGCGACAGGGAAGCAGAGTAGTGATCCTCATTTTTTGATTTTAAAAAAAGAAATTGGTACAGTCCTAGAAACGTCAAGCAGTGAAAGCAGTGGCTCTCTGTCCTCACAGCTCCAGTGAATAATTACTGCCTTGCCACAGAATATTTATCCTAATTCTCTTTAATAGAATCCAACTGCTTCCAGGCCTTACGTGACTGGGCATCCTACTGTATGGAAGCACCCAGCCTCCTTTTCCTCATGGACATGATCTAAAGACAGACCTCAGAGCAGTAGATGCTTTAATCACAGCCTTCACAGGAGCAGAAATGAGAGCATCACGCCGTTATCTAGCAGTGCTGAGCTAGTGAAACCAAACCAGACTGCATGGTACACATGTCAGCTCGGGCCCCCTGAGCCCATAGCATCCACGTTATCGCATTCAACTCTGCATTTACACATGTGACTATTCAGTGTTTAAAACGAACTCTGTGCGTGTACTATCACCGTTTAAGATCTCACACACATTTTTGAGATACATTTTAAATGCCAGTACATCACAGGGAAAGTCTTCAAGAGGTCCCTGAAACAAATCCAGCAAATCACCAAACGCAGCCTTTCAGCCATAATTAATTCTGCTGTTGATGCTCAGAAATGTAATCCTATTACACAGGAAGGAACTCGGACACGTTAGTCAAGGCCAGTGGCTACTGAATAAAAGTGTTCACATTAA